ATCTGGACAAACCACGGTTGGGCCCCCCGAAATTTGGGCCCTAAGCCGTGCGGGCCCGGTCGAAAAAGGTGTCCATTTCTGCGGAGACCCCTACACCCACCAAATGCAATCATTTCCGGGCAATCAGGTTATTTAGCGGGTTCTGCAGGTCCACTGGGAGGGCGGAGAAGGGCTATGAAGACGGGCTGACCGGAGTTGACCAAAAGTAGTCCGGTGTTGGCTACGCGAGGATGCTATTTACAGGCAAGGGAAATGCGTTGCGTTTTGGGCTTCAGGCAGGGTATGGGATATACCTAGTCCTTAGAGAATTTGGAAAGTGAATTTGAAGGAGCCGATCGAAAAACGGCGTGTGGTTCAAAGTTTGGAGGTTGCTAAAAATTTTCTTTCAATTCACAGTCTCTAGTGTGAGGACTACTTAACCTAGAAAATTCAGCCCTTACCTTGGTAGTACAGACAATAATCCGTTACGTTATTCCGAGTAGCCCTTCGGAAATTCCATCAACCTTCAACGCCCGTCCCGCCGCGGCGACTTTGCATTTTTTCCTCCTAATTTCCAGTGCTTAGGCGGTCATTTTATTCGCGGAAAGGCAGAAATTCTAGCCGCCGAAAACGACTATTCCCACGCCGGGATTTCCGGCTCGGTGGCGTGTGAGGGGGCAAAAGAGTTTCGGCGGTTTTGTTTTAGTGGGGAGATTTCTAATTTCCGATTGAGGAACGGCCGTGTGGGTCTCATGGGGGTAAGAGAGAAAGAGAAAGAGAGAGAGAGAGAAAGAGAGAGAGAGAGAGAGAGAGAGAGAGTGAGAGAGAAAGAGACAGAGGGACAGGGAAGAAGAGAGAAACAATTGAGAATGAAAAAATTGAAGCGTCAAACTATTTTAAGGACGATAACGAAGTACTAGTCGAGTTTTGACTGCAGGACGGAGTTTCTTGAGGAAAGCGTGCAGTTGTTTGCTAAAGTTTCTACCATAAATATCGCCGCAGGCCCAGTTTTAACTCATTCGTGACGAAGCCAACGATCTTCTATCTTACCAGCGGCCTTATCTTAAGTGGTGCGCTTCTTTTTTGTAGTTTGTAGTCCACAAAGTTTAAAATCCAAAAAACAACGATTGTTCCTCTCACAAAAAAACTGGACTCCGCAGGCTTTTGCGGAACAAAAGTACCCAATTAGGTGGCTATTCTTCGGCGACTTCCGGTGTGGGGGTGGTGGTTCCGATGGAGGTGCCGAGACTGGATCTTCACTGCCAACTTTTAGGTTTTCAAGCTTTTCATGGGTATTATTTTTGGGTACTATAAAAATTATCTAACAAGATGTTTGAGCACCGGATGGCTCGACTGGTAAGTTCACATCAAAAAATTATTGTAAATACAATCCATATTTTAGCCTCTGGATAAAAAGAGCAGCCGGGCCTTGATATTGATTATCAGTACATTTACGTATCTACTATTTGGAGCCTACGTTTTTGACATATTAGAGTCGGAAGCAGATTATGAGGTCAGGAAGTTGTTTTTACCGGTTATTCAACAATGGCTTCATCGCATTTTTAGCAACGAGATGAATTAATTCACATCAAGTATCTAATGCATAAAAAATATAATTTTAGCGGAAAGTAAGTTTTAATTTTTAATTGCTTAAACTCAATTTCTTAAAGAGATATGGAACTTTTTGAAACGATCGTCATCAAATCGATCCCACACAAAGCGGGGCGCCAATGGAAATTTGCCGGAGCTTTTTACTTTGCGGTGGTGGTGATTACTACTGTAGGTTGGACAGATTTTTGAACACAGAACCTATCTACTTGTTTATTAGGTTACGGTCATTCAGCGCCGGAAACCACTGGAGGTCGATTGTTTTGTATGCTGTTTGCGTTAGCAGGTAGGACTCATAATGTTTCCAAAAACGGTAAAAGTTCGGGTCAAGAACGTGAATTTTTCAGGGATCCCACTCGGTTTGGTGATGTTCCAATCGATTGGCGAGCGTATCAACACACTAATAGCATTATCCTTGCATAAAGTTAGTTTTTACCGTTAAAAATTAAATTTTAAAGGTTCTATTCGTTCCAGACAAGCAAAATTTTCATTATTTGTCGCATAATTCATGAAATGACTGGCTAAGGGAATGATTTGAGCCCTATTCCTTGATTGTCAAATAAAAAAATCGGGCGTTTTTATATTTACTGCATTAGTTATTATCTATTAATAGGTACAGTTTTCAAGGTTACCGTAATTTTTAAGATGTTTTTTATGGTATAGTTCGTTCAAGGCCTTTCTCCCGGCCTTTTCGGGCTGCCTTGCTTTTGCGGCCAGCTATATAGAACCAAATTGGCTCAATTTTTAGAATATGAGTGCCGTGTGGTGCTCCAAAAAACATGCGTAAACAAACCCTTTTAGATTCGCCTCCTCCTTCGATCTTGCGGATTCCAAATTCTCCCCGAAATTACCCCCACCCACCTCATCATAACGTCACTGTCCATTGGGACTACAATTATTGTCGTTGGCACCTATGTTTTTCATCGTATGGAACGCTGGACCCTATTCGAGGCATATTACTATTGCGTAATCACTTGTAAGTACGAAGCTGCTATAAAACTATCAAAACATGTAGTGTCAACGATCGGCTTCGGCGACTACGTACCACTCCAAAAAGAGGGCATACTACAGAAGAATCCTGCTTACGTGGCGTTTACATTATTGTTTGTACTCACTGGACTTGCCGTGTTTTCGGCTTGCGTGAATTTGCTGGTATTACGGTAAGTAAGTAACGGAATTAAAGAGGAGTGAGAATAAGAAATTATCACAGTTTTTCGCTTTAGTTTTTGTATTAAAACCTGTTAATTACTGATGATCACTTGAAAAAACGCTTCACCTAAAATTCTTTATTTTTAAACTCATCTAACCATTTGTAAATCAACTTAATTTTAAGCTTAAATTTAAAAACAAATTTTCTTGGAGCGTAGCCTCTCACCCACCTTTTACATGTCTGGTAGATCCTAAATTTTATGCTTAAATTTTTTAAGCAGCGATTTTTACTTCTAAAATTTGATCTGATTTTTACAGTTTCATGGCATCAAATACCGATGCGGTCTCTGCTGCGGCTCGAGAGCCCCCAAAAACCGTCGTTTTCGAGCAGTTCAGTACGTTCCCCCTTCTTTTCGCACCTAAAATCGATCTTAGCTAACTCTCGTACGGGCCTGAATCGCACCTGGGACCCACAGCGGAAGACGTCGGCTTATTCATCGACTTTTAGGGTGACATCCCAGTTTTGCAAACCAAAACGGCCTTTTAGTCCTCAATCGTCTCCGCCAATACGAATACACGAGATTTTTCGAGACTGCGGAACTTTCCAAAATTTCGGTAGGATTTTTTCCGGTCATCAACCAAAAAAATTTTTAGAAAAATCACATGCTGCAACTGCACCCCAGAAAAACCGAAAATCGATAACGACATGGCGCCAAAAATCGAATTTACCGTGAAGAGGCCACCCACGCAAAACATTGATCATTTGGTTCGATCAGCGTCGGAGAGGAATAAATAGTATAACTGCAGAAATACAGTAAAACGCAGAGAAACGGAATGCCTTACACCCTTTTCAAAATAGAGAGCTTTCAAAAATTTTAAATTTTGTAATCCTTTATTGATTTTAGATGCAGCATGACATTGAAAATCCGCAAAATTCGATCAATAACCGCCCATCGTTTTGCCCTGTTGCACTCTGGAGCGCCGCGTAAACAACAACTTTCAGCTGGGGCTGGACAGGGTGAGGTAAACAAGGCATCGGGCCCTCGATTTCAGAACATCTTTCTGAATTCTAAGCTTATTTTTAAAGTTTTTAGATAATGTCTTGCTGTGACAGCGATGGTCCAGGTTATGCTACCCCTCAGGAAGCTATGGAAAAGGTAGGGAAAATTTTTTTAAGCCAAAATATCGAAACGTTACAAAGTTTTAAGACGATCTTTGCCTTACAGGAAATTTAGTTACGACTGAACTCTTTTTAACTCCAAGCAAAATTTAATTTTTCCTTAAAATATGGTAAAATAATGTGTTTTAGGGACCTCGTGAAAAATTGATGATCGTCACCACCCCTCACGTCGATTCCGACAAGTATGATGCGATTTGCACGGTGGATGTCGACCCGGAGAGCCCAAATTACTGCCAAGTAAGCTAATTTTGTTTAATATTTTAATATTATTTTAAATTTAGTTTAATTATGGTTTCTATATTATTGGAAATTATAAATTTTTTAATTTGATAATGAGCTTAATATTATTTCTTTATCAGGTAATTTCAAAACTCGATATGCCGTACAAGGACGATGAAGTCCATCACACTACTTGGAACGCTTGTTCTTCCTGCAGGGGGAAACCGGGGGCAAAGAGGTAAAAAATCTAACGTTTTAGCTTTGACTTTTACAAAAACGCACATTAAAAGAAATATAATACATTTCAGAACTCACTTAATCTTGTCTTGCTTAACTTCTGATCGGATTTACGTGGTCAACGCCGAAGATCCGAAGAATTTGAAGCTGGAAAAGGTAAGTTGCTTTTTTACGCAAAGACTTTAATAGAGCTTTTTAGCATCTCAAGGCCAAAAGTTAATCGAAAAAAACAACAATAAAAACAAGTATTTTTACAGACAATCTTCTCACATCAACTTGCCGGTCTCGGCGTCTCATTCCCGCACACTCCACACTGTATTCCGGATGGAAATATAATGATTGGAACGCTGGGAGATGCTCAAGGAAATGGACAAGGTCAGCGGAAATCGCGCAGTTTCCATTGATGTTAACTATTTAGGCAATTTTATCTTGGTTGACGGGAAAGATTACCAACCGATTAGCCGATGGCTGAAAGGAGACGAGCAGTTGCCGTTTGGGCATGCTTTTTGGTGAGACAAAATGATGGATGGAACCTTAATAATCTGATTTTCGGTATCAACCCCGTCAAAACGTGATGATATCGACAGAATGGGGAGGGCCAAACACGGTTAAGAATGGCTTTAATCCGATGGACGTGGCTTTAGGTGATTTTCAATCTTTGAAAATTTATTTAAAGTCATGCTAAATTTTAACTGATTTCTTATTGCATTTTATTTATTATTTATTTCTGATTTAACTCTTTTCTAGGTAAGTACAGTCGCAGCGTCAACGTTTTCAACTGGGCGACCAGAGAAAAAGTGAAAACTATAAAGCTAGGATTGCCGGAGGGATCGATGCCCTTTGAGGTAAGCCTTAAATTTCCGTCTTAATTTGCAATAGAAAATAGATAACACAAAAGAACAACGCGTTCAATTATTAAAAAAGTATTGTTTAGAATCCTAAAAAAGTCTTCAAACTATATATCTTAGATTCGCTTCCCACACGACCCAAATCGGCCGGACGCGTTTTTCTGTACCGCACTTGGGTCCTCAATTTATCGCATGACTCCGAAGGAAAAGGTGCCTTTTTGCAATATTAATATTTTTTATTGAAAATATTTATATACAAATGGGTAATAAATATATTTATAAAAGATTACAAATATTAATAACCACCAACCTAATAATTAACAACCTTTTTAGGGCTCCCTGCAATACGAAGCCACTTGCCTCATAAAAATCCCACTATTGAGCGTCTCCAACTGGGACCTCCCATTAATGCCTGCGTTTGTCACGGATTTAGTTTTGAGCATGGATGATCGGTTGATTATTAATATTTTAGCTTCACTTCTGTGCTTAATTATGAATTTGTGTTTTAGATTCCTCTATTTCACAACTTACCTCCACGGAGACGTTCGACAGTATGATATTAGCGATCCGGAAAATCCAAAACTGACCGGCCAGGTTTATCAATAATTTCTTTAGCGAACATCTCATAAATCTCAGATTTTCCTTGCCGGATTGGTCCAAAATGATAGTGTGGTCGAGGTGAAATCGGATGATTTTGTGAGTTGCGGCCAGCCCGAATTTTTTTAGATAAGCAGACATTAGAGATATCTTAGAAGGGGCGCAGATAACAAGGGCACGATTTCTTATTCGCGTGCGCGGGCATAGGGAAATCGGTTGCGCCAGGGAAAATGGATCTCTCTGCGCATCTCGTCTGGGCACGATCTCTCCCCCCCGTTGGCAATTTGCCAGCTGTTGACCCCCCTCCCAGAAGGGGGATCAACAGATGTTTTCGCATACCCTTTAAAGCTGTAATAACGTGTAGTAATACTCCCTATAAATACACAAAAACCCTGAAATTTCAGACCCCCCCACCCCCTGTTTTCATCAAAGGCAAACGAATCATTGGCGGGCCGCACATGCTTCAACTGAGCTTGGATGGAAAACGGCTCTACGTTTCTCTATCACTTTACAAGTACCATCATCACTATTAATTCGCCATGCCTTACAAATCCAGACCCTGGGACCGTCAATTCCACCCAAAACTGCTCGAAGAAGGTGCCTGTATGGTCCAAATCAACGTGGATCATGTGAATGGTGGCATGACGTTGAATGAGAATTTTTTGGTAGATTTTGGAAAGGTAATCTGCTTTATGATTGCTTTTGATTGTGTTTTAGGTAGAGGGGGGGCCCGTATCGAGCCCATGAGATGCGCTACCCTGGCGGCGATTGCACCTCCGATGTTTGGGCCTGAATAAATAACGCTGAACCTAAACGCTGAAAAAGAGATTCTGATTTGCAATCACAAAAATTTAGAACAAGTTGGCTGAGCTATGCTAGCATATGCTGTAGCTTGCCTGCGCGTCTCGAATTTACATCGATGTAAATATTGCGCTGGTTGTTGCTGCTCAACCTGGAGGAGTTGGTTTTGCCTGGCGGCGCCGCGGTCGCGATGCAGCCAAGGCTTGTGGAAGGTCACGGAAAGGTCTTGTGCATCATCAGAGTGGCTGGGAAAAGTCGCGGGGCCGACCCTGATAATTTCTCCTCCCCTCACGTATTTGGGTTGTATGGACATGCTGAAAAGATCACTACCGCGCCATCTGCCGCGTCCAAGAATCGGCCCGTAAAATTAGGGCCAATTTCGGTTGCCATGGGCGGTGGTCCCACCTTTTTTGCAAAGTTAATTGCCGGCAAAATCCCAGGCGTTGGGTCAGAGAAACCAGGAAAGTTATTTCGGCGCCCTTAATAAGTTGTTTGCGCCGCTCTACCCACCCATTCACACCTGACCGGGGACTACCGTACTTCGCGAAGATGGCCTACGCGTTCCTAGAAATGGACTTGAGCGTTGTGAGTTTTTTTTGAAGGCGCTCATGAATGCTGTATTTTGACTTGCTCGGGTTGGATCAACGGGCGTCATTAGCTTTTAAAGGGCTGCCGGCGGCATGTGTCGATCCCCCCCCCCCCCCCCTATCGACAAATTGGCAAGTAGCCAACAGGGCAGAGAGCACGCCCTGGGGAGAGGCGCAGAGAAATTTTCTTTCGAACGCGTAACCGATTGATTATGCCGTCGGCATCCCTTTAATGGCGTACCTAATGCACTACATCCAGGTCCAAGGGTAGAACGTTGAACTTCCAGGCCACCTTCCAATCAATGACACCACAGCGGCTGGCATCGACAATTTCGCAAGTCGAGGCAAGACTGATGGAACACTTCCAGACTACGGGAAGAGCGGCCGTCGAAAATGTACAGCCCACTATCGTTACAGAGAGAACATGGAACACTTTAGCGAAGCCGCGGCGTCAACTCTGAGGCCCGACTTGCCGCGGCCAGGACGGCATTCGAAGGCTATATTGATGCCAGGATTGAATTTTATGTGGTAAATTTGCGCGTAAAAGTTATCGAATCTGGAACTTTCTAGGGAATCCTGGAAGGGGTCCTGCAACTCGGAGCCTTGGCCGGGCATCCGCGTTGCGGCCATGTGGCGACCTTCCTTCCTACGTTTCGGCGTAACATACAACCCCATGCTGTGGTATGGTCGGACGAGAAATTTTGCATAGGTCTAGAGCCCATATTTTTTTGAGATCTGTTATCTAACAATTTCGCTATTTTTTCGGCAATTTTTATGGGACAGTGAGGTCAGGGTATTTTTACCCTTCAGAACAATAAACTACGTTGTAACTTTTCAAAAATTCTTATTTGGAATCGGCTTAAGATCCTGCACAAGATAGGCTAGGTTAAATTTTATAGTTCTGGCCTGTGTAAAAACACTTTATTGTAGAGCCTCATCGCCCTCTTCGACGAAACGTGCCGTGCGAATTTCTCGAGGTTTTGGAAGTACGCTGAGTATGCGTTTTTTGCGGGCGCCACCGGGGCGGCCATCTTTGCCGGGCCGGTATGGGTGCGAACGTGAGTCTGTCCTGCGCCGAGAAATCCACGATCCCAATTTTAGGGCGGCAACTGGGGTGGCCGCCATCGGCACGTTGAATGCAGTTTGGCGCGGCTAGTGCCAGCCAAGGATCCAGATGATTAAATTGTTCTAAAGGCGGAATAAAGGATTGGTAAAAGTCTTTTTGAAACAGCGGAGGTGTTTGAATTCCTCCAGCATGTAGAAGCTCTGTTTTCAAAGAACGAAAACCACTTTCGTCAATTACTGTTGCCGGCCCGCTTTATCCGTACTTACCAAAGCTGATTTCCGCAAGAAATTGGGGCCTATGCGCGGAAAGTCTAAAAACAACGGGTTGACCAAGGCAAATTGGCCCTACTTGGAAGGTTCCCAGACGTTGACATATGTTTCTACGCTTTACGCTAGCAAAATATGAACCGTTTTTATAGCACTTCACAAAGTTATTTCCTATCCTATAAGCGAGAAAAGTATGTCTGTTTTCTGTACAGCCGATTTCTCGGCCGTCAGGCCGAATTTCGAGCTGATTTTTGGCATGGAGGTGGAGAAACACATTTGTCAGTGATGCATTTTTTTGTTTTACGAAATTCCTTCATCTAACAAATTTATAAGCAAAAAAGTGAAAAATCCTTAACAAAATGGGTTTTTGCCGCGTTGTCCGGAAATTTTCTCGGCGCCTAGAGGGAATTGGGGCCTCATTTTTGGAGGGTAGATGGGAAAAGTATTTCCCCAGATACATTTTTCGGATTTTGCAAAATTTTTGAAAACAAAGTTTTTATACGGATTTTTCTGGAAGGTCCTTAATAAATCGCGTCACGGGAGGTGGTGTCCGGGCCATATCTCAATACACCTCGCGATTTTGGACCTGTTTTTTTGAACACTCATGCATTGAATGGCGAGGATCACGCGCATTTCATTATTTTCGCAAAATTCGACCAGCTTCCACCTCAAAAGTTGAATTTTGTAAAGTGGCCTGAAGGCCTGCCTGTCGGAGGTGCTGGGGCCCATTCCTTTTAGCACAGCTCGGTTCCGCCCCCAGGATATGAAGAGGCCTTTATCGCTGCCCGTTCCAATATCCGCCTGTGGTGTAGTGGATCAAGGCCGGGGATACGGCGTTGCGGGTCGCGGGTTCGGATCCGCGAAAAATTAAGCTTTTTGCTTTTTTGTGGTTCAGCAACAAAACATATTTCTAGGCTTTCCGTGTGCGCGATTTCGCCTGGCCTTCGCTCTAGCGCCGCAGGCCCAAGGAAAGGTTCTCGGTCCAGGATCTCGCGCCGCAGGCCAAGGATGGGTCCTTTACCCAGGCTCTAGCGCCGCAGGCCAAGGGAAAGGTCCTTGAAACACGCTCTCGCGCCGCAGGCTGAATCCGGGAGAAAAAGCCGTAGCTAGCGCCGCAGGCTCAAGGATTCCAGCGCAACACTGGCTCTGGCCAAAGGCCAAAGAATGGTCTGACTCAGGTTCTTGCGCCGCAGTCTAAAAAGAATCTATTCAAATTCATGGTTCCTGGACGGGGCCCAGTGGAAAATGGCCGCGAAGCGGTCTTTTTCCACTGGTTAGATATAAAAACAAAATAAAAAAAAACTTTCGAAAGTTCTTGACTTTTTGGAACAAAAATTTAATTTAAAAAATATTGAACAAAAAACAACTCACGATATATTGAATTTGCTAGGCACGGTCTTTGATCCAGGTGGCAATTGGGTATGTAAGATACTTCAATCGACAGAGAATCAAAAATAAATGTGAAGCAGGGACTAAATATTAGTTTTTGCGGAACCCCTCTTTAAAAGTTAGTTAGGTTCAAAAGCTATTTTTTTTGCTAAAATTGCGACCTTTCAAGTCAACGATTTTGGCCTTCCGGCTCGATTTGGCATAAACAAACCTTGCCACCGTGACCAGAGGTTATTCATCTATCGAAGGAGCTAATCGACTCATAATTTTTCCGGCAACGCCTTGCAGACGACAGACAAGGCGCGTTCGCGTTGCCAAGGGTTTTGCTTGCGAGTTATAATTCCACCCCCGTAACTCCGGTTTCGGTAATGGCCATCGGCACATCACATGTTATCAGTTCCCGAAAGATGCGAAAAGACCTTTCCGTACCGAAGTTCCGTGTTGCAAGAGACTTTGTTTGCTAAAAAGCCCGGCCCGAACCGGGTCCACTCCATTTTTTTGCCATCTTCCCGCTTTTAGCTTCATAGATTCTTCTACTTATATATTGAAAACATAAATATTTTTACATTTCCTCCTTCTTACTCTTTCGTCCTTTTCATTCGAATCCATCGCCTCTCCTCTTACGCTAGACAACGTACCATTCCTATCAACACGGCATTAGCGCCCTACCGATACACGGAAAGAAAGGTGACCGACACTTGCGGCGCGGACACTCGCGGCGCGACACTTGCGGCCAGGGTTGGTCATGATGATCGAAAGTCCGTCCGCGTCCGTCCGCGTGGGTCCGGACCATGTATGCAAATTGCGGACGCGGACGGCCGCGGATCCCCGATCATTGTGACCAACCCTGCTTGCGGCGCGACACCTGCGGCGCGACACTTGCGCCCGACACTTGCGGCGCGACCTTGTGGTTATTTAGTATAAGCTATATAAAAATAGTTTAAGGTGTTATTTGATAAGCTGCATCCGAATTTGGCATTAAAAAATTATAAAAAGTCGGGTTTGCGACCGAAGTCGCTCAATTTGGAGGGAAAGTGGCCGCCACTTCCGCCGCTCGGCGACTAAAAAAAGGCTTCGTGCCACCCGGGGCCTAGTCGCTTCGGATGGGTGCGAGCTCGTACAGGGTTTCTAAATCGGGGCGCCCGAGGAGCGCGAAGCGCCCAGGCGCCCCGATTTAAAAAGAGTGGAGCGGCAGCCCATCCGAAGCGACGGCCCACCTTGCCTGACGCCCTCAGGGGCGTTCCGACTGCGGGTCGGTTAAATTGCTAATTTTGAACACAAATCCAACAATTACAAACAAAATCCGTGAAGAAATGCTAAATCTACAACATTTAAAAATAATGAATGCTGCGCCGCAAGTGTCGGGCGCAAGTGTCGCGCCGCAAGTGTCGCGCCGCCAATGACCGCGCCGCAAGTGTCGGCCGCAAGTGTCCGCGCCGCAAGTGTCGGGGAGCCGAAAGAAAGATGTTTAGGGTCGAAACAGGCCAATATTTTTATTCTTACTTTCAGCTCTCTTAGGGCACCCGCCATTGCCTTGTGGTTTGGCTTAGACCGCTTGTCGGCTCTGCTTGTTTGCGAGTTTAATCCCCTTGTGGGATAGACGCGGGCTTCGGCTCGTTTCCTGCTTGCAGTGGGATTTTTCTCTTTTATTACATCAAATTTCTAATATTATTTTATACTTATAAATTATTACAAATTCGCTCATTATTAAAACTTTCTTATTGCCAAAATTTGATGCTGAATTTTTTACCATTCCTAGTGTTAACAACGCAACACGGAATTTAGGTAAAATGACGTTCGAGGGACGCGAAATCGCGCTGCGGGGCAGCGGCGGGATTCTGCAGGGCATGGACTTGAGCACGGTGGGCCGGAAATTCAGGCAACAACCAGCCCATTTGGGGATTTTTAGGCGGCTCTATCGGTTATGACCTCACCGCAGATGGTGGCTTTGACGACGGAGGTAATGAAACGGATCGAGGGCTGGTTCTTGGACAAGGGCGAAAGGGCGGGCGAAGAGGTGGGCTTTCCAGTGCTAATTGAATTTACTGTATTTTGTACTCGGGGGGCCCATCGATTCCATAAGCCATGTTCAGCTAAGTCGCGACGTCGACTGCGCGGAAAAGCTTGCGCCGGCCAAACTACGCTACGAGCAGGAGATTGAGATGCTCCTTCAGCTATGCATGGTCAGGGATCTAACGAATGCAACAAATTTCGATATTTCAGGATACTGTAAAGTACTTCTGGCTGGCCAAGAATGCAGCCGATCGTTGCGATGGCATCGCGCTGGCGGCGGAATTCGAGATTTTCCGTCATCATATGGTTCCGATCGCTGCGGTAATCGGAACCCATAAATGCATTTGGTTGTTTAGAGGTTAATCGCACGCTTCATTGAGAAATGCGAGGCCAACTACGAGAATATTTTCTATTATGGAGGAATTGTGGCGGCTATTGGGGCGGTGGCGGGGGTTGTGGGAGCCGCAATAGTAGGTCTTTACAATCCCAGTATTTCGAAATTTGTTTTTAGCCTAGTTTGTACCTAAAAAGTTCAGAATCATATTCAGGACAATGGAATCCATCAATCGAAAAATTTTAGTGGGCCGCTAACAGACGAAACGACTCCAGCGATGCGCAGCGTGGTGCCCGAAAATGAAGTCACCTAAAGGTCTAAAAGCCTGTCCAGATATGTATATATAAACAAGATATATGTATAAATACGCAATAGTATTCAGTATTATTTCACTATTCTGTATGAATCATGAATCATTTGGAATTATAAACCCCACCACGCCCGGTGTCTGCTTTTCCTTGCACCAAAATCGCAAACCGCAAGCGCCACCATTGTAACTATTGCGCTCACCGCCCAGATGCAAACCGATTTCCGTAGCTTTTAGAAAAATTTGTTGCTTTTCAAGAGCTCCATTCGTCATTTGGTAAATCCGAGTTATTATATGTTCGCAATCCATGTCTTTTATCACGAAAAACATTCCGAAACACGATGGCCGGCAAACCACTTTCCACGCTTGCGCCGGGATGTGTAAGTTGAACAAAGACGCGCCTTTGAAGGCATTTTTAAGGTTCGGCGAGCAAGGCAGAAATCAATTAAGCGGCCTGCTATTCCCCTTTTTTCATGGATCTAGAGCTTCCGCGTTGTTCAAATCCGCAGAATTTTCTCAAACCTTGCGGATGGGGCGAGGGAAGGGCAGAAGTAACCCGTAGCTGAAGTGTTAGGTATTTTCACCCCGAAAAATCTGCAGTTTCTGCGTGGATTTTGCGTGTTGCGTTTGTCACCTCAACAACAAAATTTATGAAGCAACCGAAACATCCGAATACGGCCATTTAAAATCAGCATCCTTCTCATGCTCGTTTTCAACCCTAAAATTATATTTTAGGTGGCAGTCGTCGCGCTAGGGGCTTGCCAAGTCAAGGCTAGTGGCCGCCGGACGCTCCAACCGGAAACAGCAGAGAATCAAATGTTTTAATTTTTGTTTTACACCATTGTCTGGCTTAGACCGAAAGGCACCATTGAACTGTTGCCCTGATGATTTGTCTGCTTCGGAACGGCTAAAAAAGTTCAGGTTACCGATTCGGCATCAGAAAACGTACTGAAAATTATGCAAAACCACTGTTTTGCCGTGTACACACGCGTACTCTAGGGGGATTAATCACAAAAGGCGGTCATGGGGGTGAGAGGGTGGGGGGGGCAGTAGTGTATGCTGACCGTTGAAGCGTCAGTGATCGGTAACAGGTTTCGATACCCCAACATGATGGGGATCAGCTAAGAAAAGGCTTGGCGGCTTATTGACACCTGGATGGGTTGTAAGCGTCGGTGTTTTTTATCATTTTCAAGTGAGTTTTTTTATCGTATTATACCAGTGGTAAAATCTCTTTACCTCAACTACAGTTTTTGTGTGTTTGGTTGTGGTTTTTAGAGGAAGGCATAAAAAGGATTTTTGAACCATGGACTTCCGATGGTCCTCAACCCCATTGCGCAATGGATTCGAGTCTTTTTCTAGACTCATGCGTTGCGTATCGCGGTCCCGACAAAATTCATGGGAAATCCGTAGCAAAAAAATCCATAAACATGCCTTAACTTTCCCTTTAATACACGCTCCAAATATGAGTTCAACTTTGCTTTTTGCTCCCTAGATTCTATGAGCTGTACTTATAAAGCCCTCGTTTCCACTTCAATCTATCCTCCTCCTGCTCCTCCTCTTGCTCCTGCTTCTCATCCTTACGATCCCCTCACTTTTTCCAAAAACATTTGCGCAACAAGCTGCCCTGCCCCGTCCAATTCGTTCCTTTCCACTCTCCGTCCGATGTCCCTTCTCGTACATTGCCACCTCTCGTCTAACAAAAGGCTGGTTTCGCGCGCCAGGCGCGTGGGGCTCGTGCTCAACATGGCGCTCCCAATTATCCGGCGATCCCCCTTCGGCCCGGCCAAGCCGTCATAATTCTTGTGTGGTCCGTTTTGCCGTTGGGATTGGCCCGAATTCGGGGATTGTTGTTGATGTTGACAAGGTGTCGTTAAAAACTTTTGGCAGCTTAATTCTGGTAGTACTTTCTGATCGAGGCACTTTTTCGTTTTTCGGTCTTTCTATAGCCGAAAATTTGGGCGTTGACCAATTATCGAGTCCCGTAAAAGGTGCCAAAGCACGGTAGCAGTTTACAACCTGGGCTTGCCTCTCAGCGGGTGAATGCTACGTGTTTTGGGTTGATTAAGGATGCGAGTGGGTGCAAGCAAATCTGGCTGCACATTTGGGCGCAACGGGCTGACCATAAAAGGCTCAGAAGCCCGTCGAAGAACCAAAACTATAGCTGTTTTTACTCCAAAAAGCAAAAAGTTGAGGTCCCGGGGAGATTTGAACTCCCGTCGCAGGATTCAGAGTCCTGAGTGCTAACCGCTACACCACGGGACCGGGTGTGATGGCTGGTTGGGATGGGGCTGATGTGTCTTGAGACGTTGCGTCTACAACGCGCGGCGCTGGGATTGACGCGTTCCTCAAGAACAATGGAACAGGAAGACAATGACAACGAAAATTCTGCGATAACTTTTAGATGACTTGCGCTATATTTTAAGGTATTACGCACTACACAAGCCTAATAAAATCCTGGTGCGGCCGGATCGCATTTAAAATTTTTGAAAGTTTTTTAGTTGTTCTGATTTTTTTGGTAGTCCAGCCTTTAAACTTGTCTTCGCTCCCTTAAATTCGCCCCAAATCAAATTTTGGACTCACCTAGTCACCGAGCCCTTATCTATCACGCCAAAGAACAAATTCCGGGCGAGGGCTCGGCCTGACTACCGTTTGCACTCCCCGTGCATTCCGCTGTAGCATTTTACGGCGCGCCAAAGAATGGTTTTGCCCTTGTTCTGATCTCGCCGTTTGCTATCTGCTACGTCGTAAACAACCTACGTACGCGGGGCGTGGTAGATAAACAGCTACGCAACCTGATAAAACCAAAAAATTGGTTGATTCTGGTTGATTCTTAACTAGAGATCCGATTTGCAAGCTTGATATTTTGTACAGTGCTTTGCTATTTGCTAAATTGTTGGCTACCATCTTATCGTAAAGAGCGGCCTAGCGTTACCTTAATTTCGAATTTAGATACCTTGAGTTATATTTTATCCAAAAAGCAAAAAGTTGAGGTCCCGGGGAGATTTGAACTCCCGTCGCAGGATTCAGAGTCCTGAGTGCTAACCGCTACACCACGGGACCGACGGGCTGCGGCGCCGGGGTGGTGGATATGTGCATTGCCAGAACAGGGGGCGCGCGCCAAAAAAAGCGCCCGGCTAATTGACGGCAGCTTTTCCCCCTCTGCCGAGTGATGCCGACAGACCATAGGAACAGACGGTTTCAAACCGAAATCAATGTTGTAGGACTTTTAAGCGGACGGGTAATAGGCTTCAAGATATATTTTAAGACAGAATTTGCATGTAGCTCCTGACTGCCCAAATTTTTCATAGTGTTTGTGTATCAAATATAATAATTTTCTTGACCCGTCCGTCCGTCTGTCTGTCCGTCTGTGTGAAGCCGAATTCAACTCGAAGGGGAAAGGAGCTAGAGCTTAGCTCTTTTCGGATTCGGATAGAGCGTGGTCAGAAACCCCCAAACTGATAATAAAATTATGAAAAAGTTTTAGTTTAAATTATTAAAATTAACTTTGAAAGTTTTTTCCTTAGTAAAAGGGGTGGGGGCCCCTCTCCCGGGAGACCACGCCCCCTTTCCCTTCTCCCCTCTTCCCCAGGCCCCTTCGCGCGCCCAGATAGCTTTTTTAAGTTACTTTGTACCTTTTAATACTTTTTAATACTTTTTAATTATGTTAATTAATTATTTAAATCATCTAAAGCCATCGGGAAGGTATTTAGGTAGTTTTTGAAGGGGATTTCAGCTATGGGGGGGTATTGATGGAGGTGGGAAAGGATGTAGTGGAGTGGGACATGCAGGGTAGCCCGAAGGCCAGATGGTTGCAGTCGCGAAGCGACTGTAACCATCTGGTTTTTGTACAGATGGCTGTGGGTCCCGATGTATTAGTTGTTTTCATATTCTTGATGCTTTTCAGGTTCAGAACCTGAGAATATGTCTTTATTCTGGTGGTATCATAGGTCTCAAGAATTATTCAGGACTTTGTGCTTTTTTTTAAGCTACAAACTGCACTGGCTCCGTCCTTTTTTTGTGTAGAGTCCAAAAAACGACGTCGTTTCCGTGCAATCGACAGTCCCGCATCGACAGCAGCCCTTTTAAGTGGTGGTGCAGGGTGTGGAAGTGCTTGTGCCCTGTAAGCCGCCGCTGTCCCCCACCGGCCGCTATGGCGTGTGCTTGAAATTCATCCCCTTGGGGCGCGACAAGCACCATTCGCCGCGTTTTTTGTGCATATTCAAGTAGACGTTCTAGACGTTCAGAGATGGTTGCAACCTTTTTTGCTTAAACAAGATTTAGAGGTGTTATCATTTATTAACTTTGCCGTTACATGATTTTCCTTTAAAACACTGTGTTAAATAATTTTGAGAAATAATTAAATTTGACTCATCGTTTTTAAATTTCGGAACGTTAATTCCTTTAAAATCCGGGCGTTGCTTTCCCCTTTTCCCTCCACTTCAGAATAGAATCCACCTAAAAGTGTGGCGACGCTGGTAACTCAACACCTCGACCCCAAAATTTTTCAGCGGAATTAGACGTTCCCCCATTTTCGACTCAAGCCCGTTTTTTGTTGCGAATCGTTGCCGAGCGCAGACAAAACATAATGAAATCCTCTGCTGCTTTCTCTGCTTTTTTGCTGGTTTTCGGTGCGTTTGAAACACCGGACCAGAAAAATTTCTATTTTTCAGGCTTCTAGCGACCTTCAAACCTCGTCATTTAGCCAATTTTGTACTCGGGATTTCTCTCCAAAAATGTCTTCAACTTTTGGGCTGAACTTTCCCAGAAACTCCCGTTTTCAAAAGTGCCAATTCCGGACTCGGAATCACCCTAAACATTTCTTCTATTTTTCGCTTACCTTTCCCGGCAAGTCCCGTTCTCAAAAGTGCCAATTTGCGCTCTCCCCCCGATCCAAACTTTACCACATTTCAGAAACCCCCAAAAAATCACCCCGTATTTGTCCGAACCGCGAAAAACCAGCGCGAGCGCTTTGCTATTTGCGCTTGTTGCAATG